GCTACATGTTGAAGCTACACGTTTGGAGATCTTTATAGTCTTTGCAGTTTTGCTGCAAACTTAAATATGTTTAGAGATGGTTCCATAATGTATGTATCTATATGTAGGGGCACAGATCACCCTCTAGAAAGATTTAAATTTACTGCATCCCTCTCTCTCTCTCTCTCTCTCTCTCTCTCTGTGATCAATAAAGACATCAGGTGAGTAAGGATGGGAAACAAATACCTTTTGGATGTTTTGCTAATTAAAGCCAGTGATGCCGTTGCTACCTCCAAGGCTGTCTCTAAATCTAGTCCAACCGAGTTATCTGCCCCCTCAAAGCCCACTCCAGGGACCACAGCCTCTCTCCAGGTTGTCCTTGTCACCTGAAGTTCCAGCCCAGGCTCCCCAACCTGCAGAACCTCCCAAGACAGCTACTAAGAAAGGAGAGTGAAGAAAGGGAGCAGTCCTCCAGACCAGCTCCTCTGGGTTTCCAGGGTGGAGAGGCTGACAGAGGCACGAGAGTCCTCTACCCCAGCTGGGCCTTTGAAATTTAGGGAAAAGGGTGTTCAAGTCTCTGGACTATTTTTGTAGGGTGCCCAAATGGTGCCAGGGTCACTGCCCGCCCCATAGGTGCTCCCTCCGCGACTGTTCTCGGTGCTCAGGGCCCAATTAAGCGGCAGCCTCGCTCCCGGCAGCCGCGCTCTTATCGGCGGCGATTGATGCCTCCGCGGCTCCTGTATATCATTTCCAAGATTTTTTCTGTCCAACTCCTCGGCTCCTTTGGCTTCCGCGGCTTTGACTAATGATTGCTACAGATGCCAACGTCTCCAGAATCCTAATAGCCAGGCAGGCGGACTCTTATTTACCCGGCAACATCGCTGCGGGCGAAGGGGGTTGGGGAAGTAGAGTTTGGGGTGCCGTAGGTTGGGGTACAGGGAGAAGGTTGTGACCAACTCAAGTTTCAGTGAACTTCTTTCCCGGTGAGAAAGACATTCCCAGCTCCCTCCAACCCCTGAGGGAAAAAATAGAATAATAAAATCCTGCTAATGGTAACTCATTGCTTGCCTCATTGGAAAGGATCAAAGAATGAACAGGACTTGGGAGAATAATCAGAGAAGTGTTTATTAGTTGTAAATAGATGAGAGATTAAGCGGAAAACCAGAGGTTTGGGGAGGAATGAGTTTTTTCTTCTGGAGGAGAGAAAGGGAAAGAGATGGGCCCAGGCCACGGTGAGAGAAGGGGCTCCTTTTCCTTATTTCATGTATTCCCCTTCCTCACCCCACCCCAGGTCTACTCTTCTCATAAATTAAAATTCCGCCCTTCTTTCCCTTCCTTGCCTCACCTTCAGTCACTCCGGAGTAGGGCAGCGCTGACCAGCGTGGTCCTGGACGAAGGTGGCCGCAGCACCTCCAGGAGGCTGCTGCCGCGCCTGCCGGGGCTGCCAAGGTGCGGGGCCGCGGAGTAAAAATCACCCCCAATTGCCCACCGCGGGATGGGGCCGCGGCCAGGCCATGGGTCCTGTCGTCCCACTCGCGCTTGGCGGCGGAAAGTTGTGGCCGAATTTGCCTCTTCAAGCGCTTGTGGGCCGCAGGCGCGGGGCCCGGGTCCTGGAGGAAGCGGCTCGAGCTCCCCGCCGAGCTTGGACCAGGCATCGTGCTTCCTCGGGTCTCAGTCCAGACCTAACACACACTTCATTCGAATGAAGAGAAAATACGGAAACGCGGAGCGGTCAGCTCCGAGCCCAGGCGTGGAGTGATAACTCAAACTTGGAACATTTCTCTATCAGAGAATAATGGAGCACAAAATAATTCAGAAAGGCGAATGGGCAGGACCACAGTGTCAGAGCCGGCGCTGCTGCAGCCCGGCAGCGCTGACAGCCGCAGGAGGACCATTTCGTTGGAGTGTAGGACGAGGCAGCAGCCCCGCACCGGACCGAGGCCGCCGAGGGGCGATCTCTAAATTACAGCCCGTCAGGAGGACTCGGAAATACAAAAAGGGAGCCGAAAGATTTAAACAGTCGGAGGCAGAGGCGTCCCGACGCGGCCAAAGCGAAAATCAATCACGTAATTAAAACGGGGAGAGGGCGAGGCCCGAGGCTGGGGGTCCCGGGTTCGGAGGAGGCGGCCAAGGTGCGGGCCCAGGCGGCAAGCAGCCCGGGGATGGGGCCCTCCCGCCGCGGCCAAGCGCGGAGGGGCTGCGGGGCAGTTTACTGCGGATCGCTATTGATTCCCGCTGTCCGGGAAGGGCAGGCTGTGCGTCCTCTCCCAGGCCGGATCCTGGAGCCGTCAACGGCCCCTTCTCGGACTCTCTTATTTCCATGGGGTTGTGGCACGCAGTTAAGGGCTGCTCCCCAGGTCCCAGTGAGACCACAGATGTCTAAACAAATTTGTCTGAGAGCCCAGGTGGCACCAAGAGGTTGCCCCTGGGTTTGAGGGGTCAGAGGGAGGTGGCACCCTAGTTTCAGGCACTTACATATTGCCCTCGGCCTTGATTTCCCCAACCCAGGAATCAAGGCATGTCTTTGGAATGACTCCCACCTATGGGCCGAGGCTTGGAAGAGGAGAAGGAGGCCAGTGAGCTTATTAAATGGGAAACTTGGGGCTGAGCAAACTGGACCCCTTTGGGCCAGGAAGGAGAAGGAATAGTTCCTCAAAGAAGAAAATACGGCACACAGGGAGCTCTGTTTTGTGAGGGGACGATGTTCTTGTTATTATTGAGGTTAATAATGGTAATGATCTGGTATAGCTGGGTCAGCCCCAGGAGACCGAGCTCTACCTGGTCCTTTATCGCAGAGGTTTCTCTGGTGAAGTAAAGGACTCCCCAACTTTGTCTGTGGTTGGGGAGAATGAAATAAAAGTCTTCTCTCCTTTCCTCGGCCCTTTTTTCTCCCGCTCCTTGAGAACTCCAGAAAAAGGGAACCTTGTAAATTCTCCGTCACCCCCATCATTTCCCTCTGCTCTCTCCAGTCCACAAAAATGCAAATCTTTGGGCACTGGGCTTTTGAGGGGTGCCCTGATGAAGTTCAGCACGCTGATCAAGTCTCCGTGAATTCTGTCTCTGACCTTGGAGGAGACCCAGGATTTTCTTGCTTGCTGCATGGAATTCTCCCTCTATCCTTAGCCTTTCCTAGTCTCTGCTTTCCTTGGTCCTGGGTGTCTGATCCTATGGGTCTCTGGCAGCTCAGAGGCCAAAAACAGATTAGGGCATCTTGAGATGCCCTCATCAACCCCCCAAAGGGTTCTCGGCTTCCTACGTCTCTTTAGTTCTGGGAGCATGAGTTCAGGGAGCCGTCTATAAACCACCTTAAAGTCAGCCTAATTCCTGAATCTCTCGAAATCGCATTTAGGCTCCTTTAAAAGTAAAAGTCCTTTCCCTTCAAACAAGAAAAGTTCAGATTACAAATCTCCAGCAGAGCAAACTTCCTGCAGCCGGGAGTCAGAATTTTCAACAACAACAACAACAATATTCATAATAAGAAGAATTAAAGCTTTCATCACAGAGAGAAAGGGACGCCCCGGTCCAAATTTTAAAGGGGATATAATCCAGCAGCCTTGGATGGGAGTGGGGGTCAGTGAGCCCAGGATGAGCAAGGAAGAGGGTGGGGAACCCAACCTCTAACTAACAATTTCTCCAGCATAAAAATGAAACATCAAATTCGTTAGCCCAGGGCCCTCATTTTTCCCCTTCCACATTATAACTAGTTATTGAACTCGCTGGAAGATCTAAAGGCCATTTGCGAAGAGACAAATTTCAATGGAGTTTCCCCATCAATAACCCCATGGCAGTGACCTATTGGAACAAGTCAAACACCCGAGGTGAAATGCAGGTCACTCTGTCTAACCAATATTAAAATGCGGCCACTTTTTAAAAAGCCACTTTAAACGAGATTTGAGGAAAATTGAATTCCAAGGAAGGCAAGGCAAGGAGGGGGAAATCCACAAGAAGACCTTGCCTATGGTCTCGGAACAAACAAGAGAAATTCATCTTTAATATTTTAAAGGGGGGCAAATTAACATTCTATGATTGCTTTTTTTTTTTTTTTGAGACTATAAGCGATTCCAGGAGGAAAAAAAAAGGTTGAGTATTTTCTGGTGACACGTCTGGGTTATTAAAATCATTTTAGACCAATTCATTACTTTTACTGACAAGAGATTTAAGAAAAAATCAATTAAGCATTTGCATATTCTTTTGCATACATTAGCCCTGCCTGCTGGCATTAGAAAGGGACAAAAACACACATATATACATACACATACAGGGGAAAAAAAGGGATAAGAGTCTTGCTTTAGTTTGGGGTTTTCAAGTTGCTTGGAGAAAAAATAAAAATGAAATGAATTACTTGATTGTATACCATCTAAAAGTCAATTTATTTAAGGAAGAGGAAAGAGACGTTGCCATTTTTAATCTCTAAAACAACATCAACAAAACCACATACAAAAAAAATCCTGCACTTCTGAGAGTAGGGAAAGACATGACCCTCATATTCCTTCCCTTTGCCCTTCAGATCCTGAGTTGGTTCTCCCATTTATTTTTCTCCTTAGGAAAATCCAGGGAGTCTGAGAAGCGAGATTCTAATGCAGCACAGAATCTGTGGAGCCGCTGAGGTCTCCCAGCCGGCAGCTTGTTACCGGGGAGGGGGGGTATGGGTTAGCCACCGGTCAGTATGGTAATCTGGGCACAATAAGGCCTTGCACACAATGGACACATATTTTTCTTCAGCAGTGTCAGAAGGGAAGCGCTTTGTACTGAAACATGTTTCCGAAAGAGAAACCAGATCCAGATTCAGATTAGAAAGGAGATGGGGAGGGGGCGTTTGGAAGCTGGCGAAAGGTGGTCAGGAAAAATAAAATCGGGGCAGCGAGAGGCAGAGGCAGAGCGGGGATGGAGATCCTTGGGCTGGCAAGGCAGGAGGGCGAAGGACAAAAGGAGAACCTTTTACAGGACCAGATACAAGGATTCATCACAGGCAAGCGCCACGTTAGTGCCGCCCCCCCCCCCCCATTAAGCCAGTGCAGTGGCCCTCTGAAGGGAGTTTATTTCTGTGCTCACAATAATATCCAAGTGAAAATGTTTGTGTGTATGTGCGTGGTGGAGTCTGGCTTACTATTTTCCCCATGTGATAGGCGACTTCTTTCTATTAAGCTATAGGAGCCCAAAGACAGTTTTTTGGGTAAATGATGTAGATGAGTGTGGGCATATTTGGGAGACTCTCCCAGATTTCACTTTCTGGATGTGCATGTTGAATTAGCTGTGCAAACCTGGAAGGAGAACCCCACATATTTATGGCTGCATAAGGAGGCATCTAATATATCAATAACTATTAATAGTATGTATGCATATATATTTGTTAGCCATAATAACTGAAGACAGACTTGGCATTCATCTCAACTCTCTCTATCTACTTACACATACTGGCCCGAAGTGGGATTCCTGCTCCTGCTCTCTCGACCCACCTGCAGCAGCTCAGAATCCGGAGGAGCAGGGGTTTAGGATGGGCAATGCCTTGGGAAGGACTCCCTAACAAGCCCAAGAGGGTGAAGAGATTGAAGAGAGTTGAAGCAGGGGCAGAGCTGGTAGAAGGAGAGTGTGAGGGCTGGGAGGATGGGAGCCAGGCCGAGACCTCACCTCACCAGGTGGGGAAGAAAATATTCTGGGCCAGGATGGGGTGGGGCAGCCTGATCCCTGTGCAGGCCTGGGGGTGGGGCTGGAAGGCTCTCCCCCTCAGCAACCCTCCCCTCACCCTACCTGAGCTCTCAGGAGCTTTGGCTCTTCCCATGGGGCAGCGTGGGGCTGCGGTTCAGACTTTTTATGTAGGTCAGCATTCAACATTGGTTTTCCTTTGCTCTCTTCCAGCAGCTTATAATTAACTCACCCCTACTACCAATAATGACAAAAAATAAAACCCTCACATACTCCAAACCACTATCAACCTTACAGTCTCAAGTTCCTCTTCCGGCCAGACCAGTCAGTCCTCACAGGAGAGGGTGCTGGACAGGGGTGGGCAGGGGTTTTCAACCAACTTTGGAAATTTTGGAATCTCCTCCAGGAGATGGTCGACTTCCAGGGAATTCCTGTTCCCTCACCCACCTGGTGGCAAGGGGGGCAGGAGGCACTATCCTCATGGAGACAGGGTATCCAGGGAGCCCCAAGCACTGGCTCCTCCCTGGTGAGCCTGGGGAGAGGGTGGGAGCCTGAGCATCTGAGGAGGGAAGGTGGCCAGGGGCCCAGGCAGACCTTCAGCCCCTTTGGGCATCGCTATGGCCCACCGCCTCTCTCCTTCCAGCCCTTAGGGTGAGCCCTCATTTGGAAGGGGGGCCCCCTCTCCTGCATCCCAAAGGTGGTGAGAGATATGTTGGGAATCTCCCGCCTTCAGTCGCTCTCTCACAAGGGCTTTATTTTTTTTCTTTCCCCTCCTCATTCCCTTAATTGCAGATGTTCTAATTAAACCCTCAAATAGTTGTTATGCCGTTTTAAAAGGTACTTATTCAAGTGTCAACCAGGCTGGGCTGGGAGGAGGCAGCGTAGGGCGGCGAATTAAAGGTAGATTGACTAATCACGGCGGCGATCATAATAATAAAATCAGAGGGAAAAAAATCACATTACGACTTTTCGTGGAAAGGAGGGAGCAGGCAGCCAGCGGCCGCCAGCCCTGCCGCCGCCGACACAAAGAGTGCGGGCGATTCCGCGAGACTGATTTATGACGTTTTACAGCCCTATAAAAGCTGTAGCGACGAGGCAAGCGCTCCTACCACCGCTGGCAGATTTAGTCTAATAAATAAAACATAAACAGTTAACTTTATGTGTCACTTTTATTGTTATCAAGTAAAATATAGCTGAGCCCCGGCAAGCTATGATTTTAAACTATAATTGTTATCAAGTACAACAAGGGGACCTGGCTCCCTCCCTGGGCTCTCCCTTCTGCCACCCCCCCCCCCAACTCTGAGTAATGGGATCAGTTAATTGGAATTGGTGGCATGATGTGGCCACACCAGCTTGGGGGGGGGGGCAGTCAGAAAGCAGCCGTTCCTCGCCCCCTCCCTCCTCCATGGCCCTGCCACCCCACCATCAGGGTATTCCTGTGGGTGGGTGGCAGAAAGAGGGGAGGGGGCAGGAATGGACTGGAGATCCCCAAGGCCCGCCCAGCCTCCCCAGTTTGGTAAGCTCACCCCTCAGCCTTTGGAAGGCAGCCTGGAGCTGGCCCTGGGGAATGTGTGTTTACATGTAAACACATGTGTTACATGGATACAATCCCAGGCCGGAAGCAGGCTCTAGCCAGACAGGCCTCCCTCTTAGCTAGGTCTGCCCTCTGTGGGGATGGAGAAAGAAGAACTCCCAGGGCCGTGGCTGGGCCCCATCACTGGGCGCTGACTCCTCGCGGATCGCTCTCCTCCTTGCCCCAGCTACTTAGGAACCAGCCTTGGAGGTAGCAGGAGGTAGCAGTCAGAAAGCAGCAGGCCAGATGAAATGGAGAGTGGAAACAGCAGCCAGCGGTAGAAGAGATCCTCTCCTCTGGGGCTGGAGCAGGGAGGGTCAGTGGGTACTAGGGGAGGGCAAGACTTTTGAACTCTGCTTTTGCCAACCACTTCCTGTCTCTCCTCAGCCGGGGGGCTCAACCCCCAGACCTCCAGAAATGACGCCAGAATCATTTGCATCCCGCTGCCTCTACCTGCCCTGTCCAGCTGGGACCCTGCCTCGCCAGCCCCCTGGCCAGAGGGTTGGGTGAGTGTGTGGGGGGAAGGGGGCTGGACTCTGGTATCCTTGGATGGGGGGCACCCCAGGCACTCCAGTCTCCTGGGCTCAGCCTGGGCCCCTCCCATCCAACCTCCACTCCAGTCCTCATTCAACTTCCTCTTCCTGCGAAAGAGGGGCGCTGCCCGGTGACCTACACAGACTGAGACAGGATCGCCATGAATGGAGACCTCTGGAAAAGCTCAGGAGCCCAGGCCCAAGGGGCCCACCGGAGGCCCAAGCGGAGACCTCGGGAGGGAGCTGAATCACAGCCTCCCGACGGCCCCCCAATGCCCAGGCTTTGGAGGGGAGCTGGGGGCTTCCCATCTCCTCTTGCAGGGGAGGGTTGTCAGTCAGCGGGGTGTGCACTCGGGGCACCCCAACCCCTGCCAGCTAACCCCACATCACCACCACCACCACCACCCCCAACACCAACACCACCACCACCACACACAAAAAAAATTGGATACATTTTGAATAAAGCGATTCGGTTCCTTATCCGGGGACTGGGTTGCTCCGTGTGATTGGCCGGCGGAGTCACATGGTGAAAGTAACTTTACAGGGTCGCTAGCTAGTAGGAGGGCTTTATGGAGCAGAAAAACGACAAAGCGAGAAAAATTATTTTCCACTCCAGAAATTAATGATCATGAGCTCGTATTTGATGGACTCTAACTACATCGATCCGAAATTTCCTCCATGCGAAGAATATTCGCAAAATAGCTACATCCCTGAACACAGTCCGGAATATTACGGCCGGACCAGGGAATCGGGATTCCAGCATCACCACCAGGAGCTGTACCCACCACCGCCTCCGCGCCCTAGCTATCCTGAGCGCCAGTATAGCTGCACCAGTCTCCAGGGGCCGGGCAATTCGCGAGGCCACGGGCCGGCCCAGGCGGGCCACCACCACCCCGAGAAATCACAGCCGCTCTGCGAGCCGGCGCCTCTCTCAGGCGCCTCCGCCTCCCCGTCCCCAGCCCCGCCAGCCTGCAGCCAGCCAGCCCCTGACCATCCCTCCAGCGCCGCCAGCAAGCAACCCATAGTCTACCCATGGATGAAAAAAATCCACGTTAGCACGGGTAGGCAACTTTGCTTTTTGCTCTCCCCCTCCCTCCCCTCTTCCCCTGCGCTCCCCACCCTCCCCGGCCCCCTCCGGCCCCCGTCCTCCTTTCTCTCCTTCCCCCTCTCTCTCCAGGAGCGACTCTGGGTTAGCACAATTGAACTGGATTTACGAGCGAGAATGGGTAATTACATCCCCCATAAATTTTATGGCTTAGCTACTCTGGGCAGTCCGAGCCATGTGCTACGATCTGTTATGTATGTGTGAAAACTATGCTCGCTTTCTAAGGGCGCATAAATAATTCAGTGTCGTTACAATGAGGATTCCCCTCTTATTACACTACAAAGTCTCCAGCTTCCTTCAACTTCTTTATAACCCATTTAGCTTGATGACTTTATTTCCACCACCCCCTCCTCCAGTTCCACAGAGCTGAGGATGGGGTGAGGGTTGGGGGCGGGGAGCCTGCTGCCTCTGAACCCCACTATTTGCTTTTCCCCTCCCCCTCCCCCCAGTGAACCCCAATTATAACGGAGGGGAACCCAAGCGCTCGAGGACAGCCTACACCCGTCAGCAAGTCCTGGAATTAGAGAAAGAGTTTCATTACAATCGCTACCTGACCCGAAGGAGAAGGATCGAGATCGCCCACTCGCTGTGCCTCTCTGAGAGGCAGATCAAAATCTGGTTCCAAAACCGTCGCATGAAATGGAAGAAGGACCACCGACTCCCCAACACCAAAGTCAGGTCAGCGCCCCCGGCCGGCGCTGCGCCCAGCACCCTCTCCGCAGCCACCCCGGGCACTTCTGAAGACCACTCCCAGAGCGCCACGCCGCCGGAGCAGCAGCGGGCAGAGGACATTACCAGGTTATAAAACATAACTCACACCCTGCCCCCACCCCATGCCCCCATCCTCCCCTCACACACAAATTGACTCTTATTTATAGAATTTAATATATATATATTTTTTGGTTCTTTTCTCTCTTCCTCCCACCTTACCCTTGTCAATTCCAAACAGACAAAATGGATAAACAAACAAGCCCCCTGCCCTTCTCTCCCTTCCACTGTTAAGGACCCTTTTAAGCATGTGATGTTGTCTTAGCATGGTACCTGCTGGGGTTTTTTTTTTCAAAGCCATTTTGGGGGGTTATTTATTTTTTAAGGAAAAAAAGCTGCAAAAATTATATATTGCAAGGTGCGACGGTCTGGTTTGGGTGAATTTCAGGGGAAATGAGGAAAAGAAAAAAGGAAAGAGAGATTTTTAAGCCAATTCTCCTCCTTCTTCTCCTCCTCCTCCTTCCCCCCTCTTTCCTTAGGCCTTTTGCATTGAAAATGCACCAGGGGAGGTTAGTGAGGGGGAAGTCATTTTAAGGAGAACAAAGCTATGAAGTTCTTTTGTATTATTGTTGGGGGGGGGTGCTGGGAGGAGAGGGAGGAAGACAGCAGACAAAGCTAGATGCATCTGGAGAGCCTCTCAGAGCTGTTCAGTTTGAGGAGCCAAAAGAAAATAGAAATAAACTTTCAGTTCAGAGAGGCAGTGTATAGGTAGACTCTCCCCACCCCCTCATCGTGGTTATTGTGTTTTTGGACTGAATTTACTTGATTATTGTAAAACTTGCAATAAAGAATTTTAGTGTTGATGTGAAATGCCCCGTGATCAATAATAAACCAGTGGATGTGAATTAGTTTTACGTCAATGTCTGATGGTTTCTTTTTATCCCCCTCCTCCTTCTGGCCTGATAACATCCTGCCTTCTCCATAGTTGCCTAAGTTTACTCAAAGCAAACACACAAACCTTAACTCTCCACTCCAGTTTTCCAATGTCCTTAGAGAATCAGCAACGGGGTTGGGGCAGGGGTCCCTCAGAAGAGGGGAAGTGGAAGGTTAGGGCTGACTTCTGTCCCTTCCTTGAGTCTGTGGAGGAGCCAGGCTCTCCTGGGGGCGCTTACAGTGGAGCTGGTGGGGGGGGGGGGGGCGGGAGGTCTCACTTTTCTGTAGTTAGGCACAGTGCTGTCTATTTCTCTATTTCCCTCACCTCTCTTCTCTCTGTTGAGTAGGCCTGTCTAATTTGCAGACAAGAAGGCAAGTTTAGGGAGTGGGAGAGAAGGAGTTTTCATCTTTCAGGGCTCTCTTGGGAGGAGGGATTAAAGAAGATGCCCCCTCAACACGCATGTTCTCCTTAAAAGAAGAAAGAGTTTGAACCGGTGATTTTGAAGCAGCAAAGTGACCTGTCAGGATGGCTTCTCTGTTTGTTTAGACTTGGAAAGAAGGGTGAAGTGGAGGCCAGAGGCCTGGGAGGCCCCCTTGCATGGGTAGGCCTCAAAGCCTGATGCCTGGAGATAAGGAAGAACTTTTATTTTTTTCCGTAACTTTTATCATGGACCTGCCAGGTGTTGAGAAAAGACACTGGGAGAGGCAGGGACCACCCCTCTTCCTACAACCTCCCAGGTCCCAGCAGGGCTTGGGGATAGCCTGGGGATAGCCAGAACAAGGCTCTCTGGCTGTAAAAAAAAAAAAAAAAAAAAAAAAAATTTAATTGTTTCCTTGGGACTAAAAAAAGAAACAACAACAAAAAGAATCCTGGCCTGGATTTGCTTAATAATTAAGCTAAAGGCTCCCAAATAATTCTGGTCCTGAAGACCAGGCCCTACACAAGTCCTGCTCAAATTTTGGCTTTTTTGTCAGGAGAAGCGGGGATTGGGAGCAGTTGGTGAGCTTCAGGGGCAATTTATCCAAATTTCAGCATGGAGGGCTATCAGAAGTAGAAGAGAGAGGGAGAAGGGATCTGGAGTGTGTAGGACAGCCCGGGATTCCCCTTTTCTCTCTCCCCAGATTCCAGCATGAAAGGCCACAACAGGGCCAAGTAGTGAAAATCTGTTGGCTGTGCTTCGGATTTATTTCCTCTTGAACTACTTGCTGGCTGGTACTTGGAGTGGCGTGTGCGTGGGGGGTGTGTGTGTGTGTTGGGGGAATGACTTGTCCTGTAGGTCTACTTTCTCCTCCCTCAATGGTACCCTGGAGACAGAAAAACGCGCTGCCTACAGTGTGAGGAAGCAGGACCAACAATTATCTGGAGTTATTTTATGTAATCGAGTGAATTAGGGGCCAAATCTGACAAAATGATAGCTCCTATCATTTTGGGGCTATTGACTTTGGGGCAGGAAAAGGGGGTCTAGCTGTGCTTGGGAAAAGGGAAGGAAGGTCTGAGGGGTGGACTTGGGTGTCTTTCCAAGCCTGTGAGCAAGCTAAGATGGAAAGAGAGGGGACAGAGAGGGAAATTAAGATTCCTAACTTTGCGCGTTTGGTTTTAGGGGCATTCCTCCCCTCTCCTGCAGAAAGTAGAAGAGATAAGAGCAAGAGGGGAAAAATCACTCTCTTTTATTTCTTAAGCTCCTCCTGGAACTTGCTGAAGGGACACTCTTTAGCTCAGGAAAAGCAGCATAAAGGATCGGCAGTTCCTTCATTTCCCCATCTTTAGGGGCTTCGGGGGAGTTTCTCCATCCTCCTCTCATACATACACACATAGTCCTTCTCTGTGTGTCTCTTTCTGTTCCTTTTGGTCTGAAAAGGGAAAACATCAGAAATCCATAATTCTTGACAACTAAATCCCCTTATATTTGAGTTTTTGAAGATTTTGGCCTCTGGCCTTCCCTCCAGTGGGCTCCATTCTCTCCTCTTTCCCCAGACCTCTTCTTTGCCTTGGACCTGACCATCCAGAATGGGATCCACTGCTGAGAAGGGCTGTGGTGTGGGCAGTGGGGCGTGGGGGGCCCACTTCGGCCAGGGCCCCTACTCCTGCAGTCTTGGTCCCCCGCTGCCGCTGCTCCACCCCTTACTGCTCCAGCCTCCCTGGGAAGCCTAGGCCAGGGCTTTTATTGAAGTTGGGTTGAGCAGTGGGGAAGGCTGGGGGGGCGGGGAGGACGCAGCCCAGGTTCACGGGGAGGACACAGCATTTTCTCTCTCATCGCCTTTATATTGGGCAGCGCCTCTGACCTCTCCCCCACCCCCATCTCCGACCCTCCCAAGCCAGCCCTGGCTCAGCCCCTGGTCTCCAGATAGGATGCCACACTGCTTTTGTAGGGCTGGGGATTTCTTGCCCAGAGTAATGGGAGAGACAAGGCGCTTGAATGCCTGCTAGCGCATTGTATGTCTCTCTCCAATGGCTAAGTAAAAAGAAGACGGGTGAAAACGGCGACACCAATCTTCCAAGGTCCTCCTCTCCAAGCACCAGGAGATCCCCACAGGTCAAAAATCCCCTTGACATGTAAGTAGTTAGCACTCGATCTGCCGGGGGCGAGGAGCACAGCAGTCTCAACTCTATCTCTGTTGCCATTCAATTTTTATCTCACCTCCCGCTCTTGGGGAGAGAAGGCGGGAAATCCGATCAGGAACGGAGAGTTCTGCTTGGGGAAAATGGAGTTTCTGTGCGGACTCGCGTACCTGAGGAGTGAAGCAACTTGGCTCCCAAAGGAGAGAGAGAGAGCCAAGAAAG